CCGCGGCAGCCGGGAACGCCCGCTGAGGGGACAGTACAGGCCCGGGCTCTGCCCCGGCCGGCAGCTGCGCCGGGGACCGCCCTGGGGACCGCCCTGTGCACCGCTTCGCTGTAGAGGAGGCGGGAGGTTGTGCTCTCGGACTGAAGTTTCAAGAAGTAACTGAAACACCTTTGATACGACCACCTCAAGACCAAATGAAATGTCTGATGTTTCAAAACCAGGGAGCTAGCTACAAATAGTCATGAAGTTTTAGTGAGTTATCACAGCGGAATATAGTTACAAGTTTGCTTTCCTTTGCCTCAGGTCGCACTTACAGCAATCTTACGGGGAAAGAGCCCCTTGCTCCAGCTCAGCTTTGGACACAACGGTATCAGGATAAACACGCCATATACACCTTTATAGAAATCTACAGGTACACGAATGAAGCTAAAAAAAAATCGTGTCAACACTTCTAGAGCTAAAACCCATAAATCAACAAAATGAAAACACGGAAGCTACATATTTAACCTTTTATTGCACTTTGGACATATACACGGTGTTCCCCATAGTTATTATTATTTCAACACAGATGCTACGTGTGTCATGCAAAACGTTGCTTGGAGATGCAACAGTTCAGGCACTGATCCCTGCAGTTCAAGTTAGAGCTAAAAAAATTTACAAAATTACATTTTTTTGCATAACATTCTAAATACCATAATTTTTAAAAGAACATTGCTTATGTAATACAAAAATCAGAGGGTTAGACTAGTTTTTTACAAACATTAACATTTTGAAAATTATTTTCTCTATACATATGATTTGACACTTCAAAAGTTTTTGCATTTTAGTTTTTCTTTTGTCCAACTAGATATTTCCTTAGATAAGAAACAGTAAAGTTTGAGCTTTAAACATGTTTCACCATATAAAACAGATGCAATATAAACTTGAAAGAATGTTTTGTAGGATTCAAAGTTGTAATTCTTTAAATTTAAATCAGATTTTTTGATACTATTTTCAAAATGCATATGCAGAATGTGAGTAGGATTTACTAATACTCTCAAAATCCTCATGTTTTCAAATTCCAGGACTTAACATCTTAATGAAAATAATCAAATCTGCAGCACACAGTGGTTTAGACTTCTATATTTGCATGAACAAATTTTTTCTCCTTTGGACTATATTTCACTCTTAAGTTAAAAAGGTTAACAGTTTTCTGGCAAGCATTCTCTGAATGGGCAAAAAAAGCAAGTCACAGAAATTTCTTATTCCTTGGTCTTTCAAACACAGAGCTAAAATATTTGAGGGTTTTTTTTTTAAATGTATGTGCATTGTTAAGGAGACCATACTAAACCCACTAATACTAATATATTATGGTTGAGTAGAAAATTATCTCTAGAAAATAGCTTATTTGATGTGCTGATTCCAGATGAAAACTAAGGGTTTGATGCAGAAACTGTGGGATAAAGTTCTTTGGCCAAACACAAAAAAATACTGCAACAGTTCTTTTGTGGCGCTGACAAATTTTATAAAAGATGCAGCTTCTCCAAGAATATATTTAATACACAACTGATGCATACACAATTATTCTCCCTGTGTTACAGAAATACTGAAAGTAAGCAGCCTCCCTAATTTCTAGGTGTGCCTCAGGTTATATTTATGTAAAATGAAAACTTAATTTATAATATTGCACTTCAGTGATTTGCTACAACAGTAAAAAACCTATGGTTCTTATACCTATATAAATTGCTCTTACAATTTCAAGACAAGGGAGGCCATTCTGCGCTTGGAAGTTAGCTTATTCATTGGAATTCTAATGAACAGTTCAAATAAATTTATGACTGGTTTATATAAATAAATGCTGAAAATGAGAAAATTCCTTTCCATAGCAACATTCAGGAATACAACTTGAATATATGAAGTATTATATTGGTGGGTCTAGATAGAGCTGATCAAACCAACAGAAAAGGAGAACACAACTTGTCTTGAATGGGTACACATCAGTATTAGAAAATGGAAACAAATTCTGTGCAAGAAAAACCCTTTTAAGCAATATTACGGACTATGAAATTTTACAAGTTCAGTGATTGAATATAGCATTGTATAAAAGCTCGTTATAAAGTTAACATCTTTTTATACCTGGCATATAGGTTAGGTTCTGCCTTTTATATAAAAGCCTTTCAACTGATGAGTTCAAAAGTAAAAAGCAATAAAAAGTGTAAACTCTATTTTTTGTAATTTCAGGAATGTTTTGAAGCCTTATATTCACATTATTTTATTATTTCTTTCTCCATCCAAAGTTTTAAAATGCAGTTTATTTTGTTCCAGGCTCTGAACAATTTCTCTTGACACTGCAGGCACCAGAAGTCCTTGTCCTTTAAAATTACTCACACTCTGCTTGCCAGTTTTGTAAAATCTGGAAGACTAACATTACAGAACACATATATCTTTAGCTAGGCAAGAAAATAATTTTTAAATCATTTTTAAAGTATAATATCTGCAGGAAACTCATATTTGAAAAATACAAACATACAATATGAATCCTTATTATGTAAACAAATTTGTGCCAAACCACTCTCCTTATAATGGTAATAGACCATTGTGAAGGGTAAGAATACAAAGAATTTATTGGCAGAATGAGAGTCATAACTATGCAAAGATCAGAAACACTGTATTATTGGAGAAAAGAAGACACTGAGAAAATGCTTATATATAAACAAGTCAAATTACATTCTCCAAGAGATCATGTTTATTTTAAAGGAGACTTGAATATGCTTTTGGCTAACAAGCAAAAACCACGGCTAGTCCTGTCTTAATTTCTAGTATTCCTAAATTTATAATGACAAGACTGATGATATTAGATTGTTTCAGGCATTCAGTAATGAGAAATATCTAAGACTTGCAATGATTTCCTTAGAATTTCTTACATTTTTTTTCAGAAGCACCTATTCATTTATAATTACTGTGGATGTACTTCCTTGCCAAGGAATTCAAATGTAAAGCAATCCTGCTTATATTTTAAAACCAAGCTATATTAATAAAAAAGTGAATGATTACTTCCCAGTATTTTGAAGAATGTGCATACATACAGACACATATGTATCTGTATTACATCTATAGCACAATTTATGTTCAGGACAAAGTGGTCAAAACTAACAGAGGGAAATAGTATAATTTCAAAACAGAGAGCAGCATACATTTAAAAAGAATGTATTTCAATGTCCTTTTACTGTCATAGATGAAGCATTAGTAACATTGAAGTATTTCTGCATAGGAATTTCACTACTTATCTTTCACAGCTCAATGGCCCGGCCATTTACACAAAGTACTGCAGCACTAAAATATATTTTCTACAGTGCTCAGAATGCGCCTACGACTGAATTGGAAGAGTTTAGAATAAAAGCTAGAAAAGTGTCAGACCCAAACAAGCTTGATGGTTGACTGCCTTTAGTTTAAAGAAAAGCTTTAGTACGTGGGTGTATGAAAATACTTTAATGGAAGACAAGTTTACATGTCCTAATGAGCAAGAGACTTCTATTCTTTCATACTCAATAACATTAAGTCTAACTAATATATTTCACTTTGAAAGACCAGTTATTGTTGCATGTTCAACAAACTTCTGGTGTTTACTATTTTGGCTCTATGAGTAATTAAAAATTAATTCATGACAGCAGAATGCAGAAATGTGCAAATGTCAAGGATTTTGTTTAAAAACAGAGACACAAGTTCAATCAGTTTTTCTTCTTATGCTGTATTATTTTACCAATGTTTTCTCCAGACCTCGAATGCACTAGGCACAATGACCATGAAACTACAAGTATTTTAACTTTCCCAGGTTTCTATGAACCATTAGAACACAAATGAATCAATATACAAATCAATTACTGAGATAATATACATGGAACTGAAGAACTGCATCAGAGTTTTACACAAGACAATGCTATACAGCAGTTGTCTTCAAAACGCACCTGGTTTGTTTCTGATAAATAATTTACCTAAATATTTGATATGATCCACATACTTACCTGTTATAGAGTGTGGTAACATTTCATATCTGTCTACAGCAAAAGCTGACATTTAAAGTACTTCTGCAAGAGATGGAGGACTCCTAAAGTCAACTTCAAAAGGAAAATTATTCAGGAGATAAAGTTGGGGTTTTTTTTAAATTTGGAAATTGTCTTCCTCCTCATAACGTAATTTTTAGCATAATTTTGGGGGAAAGGTCGAAAATTACTAAAAGTATGTTGTCCAAAAATACAGGAGTAAATTAAAAGCAGATGATCCTGCAGAAATCTCAAGTGTCCAACATTCAGTTTAATAGCAAAAATACTTATTCCTTTTCAGCTCTTAGGGTGTTCCTGATGGTGAGCTCCATTTTATTTTTGAACTGCTGATACGTCTTTGTTATGGGAAGCTCTAAGCAATTAAGAAGTCTGTTTCCAATGGGATATGTTATATGCAAAAATTTAATTGTAGGTTCAGGATCAAAACCAATGGATGGTATATAACAGGAGCCTGTTACGAAGAGCAGAATATCCTCCAACGTCACTACAGACTCACCACCTAAAAAAATAGGATTAAGTTTTATCATTGATTATTGCACATAAACCATTACCCTGCATGTTAAGTGCTAAGTGGACAAAAACCCAATCAAACCAATATGCTGAATAATTAGCAGTAATATGTCTACCTCAGAAAAAGTTTAGCAAGAAAAACCAACTTAAATTAGTTCTGAAAAATCTTAAGTGAATACAAGAATCTCTTCTGCAAGAAAAAGATAGAAAACTGGTCTTTAATAATTCAGTCAATCTATCTAATAAAGGATTTTTCTGTATCTCTTAAGGTTGTGTGTTGGATTTTTGTTTTTTAATTCACAGGAATCCTAGAGCAAATTTTTCAGATATTTACCCTGCTAAGGTTTTGGGCAACAATTTCAAAAATTCCAATTAGTAAGAAAGAGGGGAAAGAAAGAACAATTAGGAACAGATAGTGACTACAAAACCTTGATTTATTTACACCACTTACCCCTAAAAATAAAAAAAAAAATTAAAAAAATCAAATTACTTACTCTCCACATCTTGCAAATAGCCCATCCAAAAATCAGCACCTTCAACTTTATTTACATCTGATGAGGAATGGATTGTAAAGAGATCACAAACAGTTTCTGCTGAAAGTCTTTCGGGTTTGTGGCACAATATGCTAGAGAATACATCCGGGTGCATTTGCATTTTCTCTAGGACGCCAAGAGTTTTCAAACCCTGCCTAAAACTAGGAGGGGGAAAAAAGAAAGAGTGACCACACATCAGATCTCTGCATTTTATAAAGCTGCAAGATGGGATAAAATAAATCTTCCCCATCTCCAGTCTCTAAATCTTGTCAAAAAGGTTACATAGTACTCTCATTTTGTCTTGGGAAATGTGTTTAACTCTCATTTTAACAATCTAAATGTTTCTCTAGAGCTTTATGGGGAAATGAAAGGAATACCAGTGATATGTCGAAACAGACCTTATTTCCAGGTACTAGACTGTAAGTAAAAGGTATACTTTTAACTTTAATGTGAAAACCTAGCAATTCTCTTTCTTAAAAATAGCTCTTTGGAAAACACCTTAAATTCCTTGTCAATAGAAAAAATAAGTTGTCTTAAAAGACAGCCTTCACTTGGCTTTTGCAAGACTGCATGTGCTTACATGCTATTATTTCTGTCTGTGGCAAATGCAAACAGCACCATCCTGGGCCACACTAGGAACTGTGTTGCCAGCAGTTCAAGAGACATGATCTTTCTCTGCTGCTTAGCATCAGTCAGGCCACACTTGAAGTGCTGTGTCCAATGCAGATAACACTAGATAGGATACAATGATATGATATAGATAACACTATATGTGAAGTTTAAATCAGGTTATGCTTGTTGAAAAAATTAGTATCCAATAAATTTTTACAGAGCAGCTGAAGAATGTGAATTGGAAGTAAGGCCAGAGACAATCAAAGAACAGTCAAGAGCTGCAACTTTTCCAGCTAATGAGGTCATCATTACCTCAGAGTAACATCAATTCAATGCTTATGTTCTAAACAGGCCAACTTAACACTTGCTGACAGTACTGCACTCCTAATGGCACACACAAAGCAGTCAAGAAAACTCAACTGAATTTTAAACATATGCTAAGCATTTCTAAAATGTAAATATTCTAAATTCAAACAATTCCAAATTAGAATTGAACATAAGCTAGAGAAATTTTATAGTGCAACGGTCTTTGTGATGCTGTAGCTTAAAAACTGTGAATCTGCCTTCATTATAAGGCTGAAAAAGGAGCCTTGACCAAGGAGAAGTCAGAGCAGGTATGCAGAGAAACAATTTGTCTTTCGGTTTAACTACCTAGTTAACAGTTGCTACTTAATTAACTGAAAATTACAGTGGTTTAAATGGAGAGTAAGTAAGAATTTGTGAAAGTTAGTTTTAGCAACATATTATTTAGAGTTGCAGTGAGGAAAAGAACCAAGAAGTTCAAAAACTCAAACAAAACAAACCTTTCTAAGGGTAAAGTAATTCTCTTGATTACATGATAGATCAATAGGTCATTCACCAGCATGTTCTTATCACACAAAGCTGTTACAGGTTTTAAACATCCAGCAGCAGCAAGGAATTCACAACAGTCCTGTAGTGTAGACTGTAGGCTGGACAGATTATTTGCATATTTTATCTGCATAAAAAGATAAGTTAGGCACTTGTTTACTACATGTGTGTATACATATATGTGAAAAATAAGCTTTTTAATTTCAACAAAATTGATATTCTGTAAGTCCTTTATCTCCAAATATAGTCTTAA